CGATTTAGACGGGCTGAGGATGAGCCCTTTTACTAGACATCGTGATCCCGGGAGATTCAGAGTCTGTTGGGGAAGCTTCTGGAGTCGCTTACGTGGTGCTTCGGTTCTTTAGTCCCGAATTGGAACCTCGGTTCTTTGGCTCCAAACTGGCACTTCGATCCTTTGGCCTCGAACTGAATTAGGTGTCGAGGTGCCTTTATGTCGAGGTGCTCAAGGTCCCGAGCTCCCGATCTATTAGCGAGGCTCCCTTGCTGAGTTGTCACCCTACTGGCTGATCGCATCCACGTGTACCTCGATCGTTAGGTTGGGCCAAATTATCCCTCATCAAAACCCATTGCTTCTTTCACTGAATCCATAGCGGGTGGAACACAAGATACTTTTGTATTCCTCAACAACAAAGCTCTACTCCCAGATTTGGAGGTCTTGACAACAGCCTGTTCTTTCCTTCCTATCATCAAACACCTCTCGGTCAATTGCTAGAGATGTCTTCTTTACCCGCTTCCTGAGATTGTTTCCAATTTCCAAAGGCACTTTCTTACTAACAGTTTGTAGACACTCAACCACCTCTGCCATAGATGGCCTCTTTTCGGCTGTCGACCTGACACATCGTGCCACCAAGAGCGCCAATTGTCTCATCACAAACGGGTCCCTGAGTGGCCCGATTTGGGGATCGAACAACAGAGCAAATTCAAATTGCTTGATAAGTGGCAAGGCCCAATCAACCACCAAGGGCGGGTTGTAGTTCACATCAATGGCGTTTCGGCCACTGATAATCTCCAACAACAAAATCCCAAAATTGAAGACGTCGCTCTTGGTACTGAGATTCTCCGACAAAATGTAGCCGGGGTCGAGGTAGCCCAAAGTGTTGGCGGGAGGTGTACATCTGATCTTTACATCCTCAACGTGTCCCCTCAAGGCCAACCCGAAATCCCCCAGCCCAGCATTCCAGTTTCTGCCGCGAGCACGTTTGACGACTTAATGTCCCTGTGAATGACTAGTAGGTTCGAAGAATGCAGAGTTTCGACCGTTGTGAGGAGAAGAAACAATAAAATATATAAATCTGTTTGGTGAGTCAGTAATTGTTTTCCTTCTTTTTGAGTTTTACTTCACAAACCATGATTATGGCCTTGATGTTGTCTCTGGTTAAGTCTTCTAATTCATCCTTTTTCCCATCTTCGTCATAAAAGGGGTCCCCTTTATTCTGTTAATGTTCTCCATTGAATGTTTCAAAACCATTGTTTTTATTGTAGCCATTTCACCTAACTTCAATGGAAAAGACAATGAACAATATAAAAAGGGCAGTTTGGACATTTAAAAAATTTTAAACAATTGGATGAAAATTTTTTCGAACGTTAATGAAAGGGGGTCTTTGTAATTTATCCTATTATATATTATATATTATTTACATATTATATATGTATATTCTATATATTATTTATATAATTATATATAATATATTTTATATTTTATATTTTAATATATTATTATATTATATAAATAATATAATATATTATATTATATTAAATTATAAATATAATTCTAATTGAATTGGATATCCAATAATATATTTGAATTCGAATTCGAATTATACTTTTGAAAATTCGACGGATCCTTACCAGATTCAGATCAGTCAGATTTTCTTAACGGATCGGATATGCCCTTACCAGAGCTGGTCTGATCCGTTTGCAGCCCTAATTCCAGACCCCTATTCTCATGAGCCGAACAGACCATAAGACCGGGAAAACCCTAATATGTACAATAATGTTGAGGTGGAAGAAGGAGATTACAGAAATGTGGTTCAAGCAAAACAGTTGTTGTAGTCCTTGGATCCATAGACATGCAATAAGTAGGGGTGTCAATTGGCTGGTTTTGGGTTGGATYCAATCTGATCCAAACCTTCTCAAATTGGATTTGGTCGGGTCCATATAATTATTGGATTGGGCCAATCCAAAATAAATTGGTCTATATTCTTATTGGTCTGAATTGGACTTAAACCAAATTTTCACTAATATGATCATGAGGCCAAACCCTTGTCCAATTTGAAATTGATCAAAATTAAAACCGGTATAAAATCACTTTTATGAAAGCACTTTGATAAAAGTAATTTTATGAAAAGTACTTTACAAAATCACTTTCACAAAAGTGCTTTTATGAAAGCACTTTTACAGAAGCAGTTTTATAAAAGCACTTTTACAAAAGAACTTTTACACAAAAGCACTTTAACGAAAGTACTTTTATAAAAGCACTTTTATGAAAAGTACTTTTATGAAAGCACTTTTGTGGAAGTACTTTTGTAAGCATTTTTTTGAAAACACTTTTATGAAAGTACTTTTATAAAAGCACTTTTATAAAAGCACTTTTATGGAAGAACTTTTACGAAAGTACTTTTATAAAAGCACTTATACAAAGTACTTTTTTGAAAGCATTTTTACAAAAGCACTTATACGAAAGTACTTTTACAAAAGCACTTATAATACAAAAGTACTTTTATAAAAGCACTTCTATGAAAGTACTTTTATAAAAGTATTTTTATGAAAGTACTTTTATGAAAGCACTTTTACAAAAGTGCTTTTTCAATGCCAAAAGGGTATATTTTTGTGATTTTCAGATTTTTTCATTTTAATATATTTTTGTTATTTTATATGTTCTATTTTTTATATATAATTTTTGATATTTCATTCGGTTTGAACTGGATTCAATTCAGTCCATTTATATTTTAATGGATTGGATTGGATTTGGTTTGTATTAGATTTGGACTGAATTGAGTCCAGTCAGGTTGGACGAAATCCAGTCCAGTCCAATTGACACCTCTAACAATAAGGGAAGTAGGAAAAAAAAAAATGTGTAAGGAACTGGGGGTTACTTGCATGGGCAAATGGACCTTCCAAGTTCCAACGTCATAGCAAATGCATTGACAAGACAAATGTTGAATAGAAACTGACTTTAGGAGGCGGTTAACTTTTTAAGGGGGGAATTGTAAATTTGTAATTAGAAAATTACAATCCAAGAGGGGTAGCAACAGATGCAGAAAGGAATTAGAAAATTCCAATTATCATCATTTTATCAAAAATCAAGAAAGTGATGCATTACTGATAGAAAGAAATTAAGAAAATGGAATCTGTGCTAGGAGAAAAACTTGCTCTTAGATGTAGAAAGGAGTCTGTTTTGTGCTAATTTATTTTTAACTTTGTGTAAAGGAGAGAGATAGTTTGCCTCTTGGACATTTCTTGAGGGCCGTTTGGTAACAGTTGAATTGAGTGGAATAAATTGTTTATCAGTTTATTCTTCGTGTGACTGATCAGAAATTCAACAGGCGGGGTGACCATTTTAGCTTAGGGCATGGATGGTGATTTTACTTTATATAATTATTTTATTCCATTAAAAGACAAACCAGTAACAAGAAATTCAGTTCATCACTTGGGCAAATGTAACAGCTAGACCCGAATAGCTTCTAATTAAGCTATGAGCCTATAACGATGTCTAGGGTATACACAGCCGAATCAAAAAGCCCACGTACCTTGAAGGCAAAGGTGTCGGTGTTGCAAATTAATTGAACATGTGAATTTGAAAGCCAAACGTTAAAAGTCCAAATTAGAATTCAAAGGAGTAATAGCAAGCAGCACATTAGGCAGGGCTCATCCGCAGTTCTCCGAGTAGGTGTGGTCCCCTTAATATTACAAGCTAGAAATGAAAAGAAAGAAGGTTGATATTTTGTTTTCTTTTATTATTCCTTTGACACGTTGTCGTTATATCAGTGTGCCGTTCACCTACAACTCTTACTTGGACTCCATTATCTCCAACTTCCTCAACCATTTCCTATTTACTTAGAGACCGCTACAAGAGGATGGATGAGTATTGGAGAAATCTCTCTTCACTACTCACTACATAACGACCTGTATCTAAAATCTAAATCTAACCTAATTAACTTTAAACTCATCAGCTGGGGATGGTGGTAATAGTTTTGGTTAAAGAGAACAATAAGTTCTAGTTATGGTGAACCCAGTTATTGAAAATGCATAAAAATCAGTCTAGGTGTATGTTGCTGTGAAATAATGTTGTAGAGATCTATATAAAGAGAGAGAGAGAGAGAGCTTTCATGGACTTCTGTAGCTGTACATCTCCATGGCTCCAAACTCTCTTGCTATTGTAATTTGTATATGTAATTATAAAGTTTATGTTTAATTGCATTCCACAAAGATAAATTAAATGTCAAAGCCTTCTCTTGTTGCTATCCTATTTACTTACATGCATGATGCCCGCCTATCAATGAAGCTAAGAATAATTTTTAGAGTTAGCATTACAAATAAAAAATCAAAGCCCCGTTTAATTCGCAGGAATAGGGGTCTGGAGTTTGATTTCAACTATTTGATTAGGTGGAATTGTAATTCCATTCTCAGTTCTATTAGAATGGTATTCTCTCATTTGAGGGAATGACCATTTCTTATCCTCTCCCTTAGGAATGAAATTTCATTTTTGCTGATTCCGATTCTTATTACCATTCTTATCTGAACCAAACAGACTATAAAAGTAGATCATCCCGATTCCAATTTCGACTGCAAACCAAACAGACCCCAAATTAAAGTGGTGTCAGCTCACGTAAACAATTCCAAGCCCTGTCCATATCACACAAACCAGACAGACACCAAATTAAAGTAATTAAAGTAGTGACTAATGCATGCATTCGTTATCGAGCATGAGGAAACGGAAGAGAGGATGGAGCCATGGAAGAGTTAATAGTCGCCAAGATCATATTCACGATTCATGAAAACACTAAAACAAGGTTTTTGTTTTTTTTTTTTCTTTTTGGTGGGGGGGTTAAAACGTTGTTGGTCATTCTCTAATTGAAACTTGAACGGCAACAATTCTTCTTGAATCCCAGGGCTAAGCAACTGTTTGTGACCATCTGGTTGCTCGTGCTATAAGAATTTAAAATACTAATGATAAGACACCCAATTTGAGTTACGAATTGCAAATGAAGCTTTTCATTTCAAAGTTTATCCAATTGATACAATAATCTAAATTAGCTTGTTATTATGTTACTGAAAAAAATATATATCATACATAAAAACTAGAAACTGGAGTTTCTTTTCTTTTCTTTTCTCTTTTTTTCCCCCATTTTCTTCACTTCTTTTTCTTTTAAAAGCTGCAGTAAAAATCTACGTACTAGAACTTGATCAGGGTCATAGTCCATCGTCGGCCGTCCCATGAGCGCCTAACAAGCTAGATCAAATTTTCACAATCGAACATAATATCCTCGAAGGGTGAAATGGGAGGGAGGTGGTGAACATCCATCAGAATCCTCAGTAGTTGATTTTGCTGTTCTTGGGACTCTAATACTCGGGCTCTAATCAGATCCAATTCCGATTCGAGTTCTTTTACTAGTTTCTGCAAGTGAAAAATAGCACCAGCACTCCCATACACGGGGTCCCTGAGCCTCGCACTTGCTTCATACACCATGCTCTTCACAGTATCCTCTCTTTCCGTCTCCTTCACCGTCTGAATCCACAACAGATACAGAATGCAATATTTAAATTTCTCAGTAACCGAATTGCTAAATTCATTATAAATTTGACGACTTGAGACCAAACAAATTAAGAAAAAGAGAAGAATTAAAAGAGGGAATGAACCAGGCATCCTCCTCCACAGCACCTGAAGCATTTTAATAACATTGCTGGAACCAAACACTTTGTGCACACCAACAAAGTTATCAGCTTCTTGGGTTGGAAAATATGGCGCTAACAAACAGTTGTCACCGCATCTCCGACGAAGCATCCTGCAAGCAGCACAGGGATGATTAATCTTCGCTCCGACTGGCGCCATTCTGCTGATAACATCCATAAATATAACATGAGCTAGGACGGGTTTGTGTATATATATGCAAGATATAGACATATATATATATATATATATATATATACATATATACACTAGCAGAGCCAAGAGGGAGAGAAAATTTCAATACCAGGCATTAATCGATCGGGGGAGCCCATTTTCTACGGGGTATTAAGAAATTCAACGTTAAATACAAGGAGGTTGGCGTGGTGGCCACATAAAGACGGGTTTAAGATAGACTCAGTGTTGAAAAATGGAGTACCCTATCGTACCAACGATAGCACCCCGGTGGCCAGTGGCCAGTGTCTACTACTGTATACATACTGTACACTTTTCTTTTATGGTAGCCACTGTATATATTATACACTAATTTGGGTATTTTCAATCTTTTACCCCACCCCAAATGATCGTGATGAAACTACAAAAGCTCTCTCTGAGAAATTGCTATCAAAGCTCATAACCCACTATCACCATTTAGATAAGTGATCTTATTTTCTAAAAAGCTAGATACATAGCAATTTCTGAAAATTTTCTACTAAAGTCCATAACTCACTATCGGGTTATAGCCCCCCATCATTTAGACACATGGCCTTCTCATTTTTTCTCTATAACTAGACACATGGCATTTTTTAAGAAGTTGCTGCTAAATCCCACAATCCGCTACCACCATTTTCAATTCATTCCTAAAAAATTGCAAAAATGGTTATCCACAATTTCTGTCTACATTCTATCAATCTCATTTAATCATTAACCCTATATGTATCATAATAAAATCAAACTATCCATATTCTAATAATTATTAAAAAACTATTTTTTWAAATTTTAATAATTATTTAAAATATTAATAAATATAAATTTAACATTACTGATTTCTCATACTTAATACGGGGTCATTCACTAAAATTGTGTTTGGTTTGAAGAAAAAAATAAGGAAATGAAGGAAAAAATAGAAAAACCTTTATAAACTTTGCATAAATTTCCTTATCTTTACCTTTCTTTCTCTATCTTTTCCTTCAAATCAAACATAACCTAATTATATATTATCCTTGGAGAAAACCCCAGGAGGCAAGAGCCCAACCAACTCGAAAGCCTTTGACTAAACATCTGGCACGTTTTGGTTAAATACGAGTTTATTGTAGCTCCCATCTGCCTTTCTTATCACTAGAGGTTGAAGATAGAAAGTAAACCAAGGGGCTGTTTGATAAGACTTTGAATTTGGTAGGCACACCTGGTAAGCATAGATCGAGGAAGCACAACACTTGTCCCCACAAGTCCACGAATACAGCAACCCTGGGGGCCTAATAACTAGTAGTGGTACCCAACATCGGAATGATCCGATTTAAAGAGACGATCTACACCTATGGGACCCATAGAATGGAAAGTTTCCATTTTTACTCTAGACATGGGAGAGTGGAAAATTGAGGGGGCTTATATTTTACGCCATGTGTCTCTGGAATGGAGCCTCTATCAAAAGCCTTATATGCGTATTCACTGATATTTGTTGCATGTTAAATCAAGATTTTAATCGATTACCTTTGTCCAGTATCATTAGAAAATTATAAATTTGAGAAAAATAAATAAAATTTAAGGAAGCACGACTAGGACAATTTTGGCGTTTTCACAAAAATCTGAGTGGCCCATGAATAACAAACACTATGCTATTGTTATCCTCTAAGAATCTTTTCATTTTTTGGATTTTAAAGAGGCCAGGGTAATTGGTTAATGTGATTTTGGATATTTATGTTCTTTTTTCATATTCATGTGAGGTCTATGGTAAAATTATTTTCCCTTGGTAATTGATACAATATATCGAGAGAGAGAAAATTACCAATACATGATGAGACAAAACTGTCCATTTTGATAATAGCTAATGCGTGTGGAATTATTTACCTAAGAAACAAAAGAACATAGAAAAAAGCACTTACCCATTTAAATGATCAAATGAAAAATGGATGGGGTTAAAAGACTCTTTCTTTAAGACCCATCCTATCTGTACCTGTGCTTTGTCCTTTATCCAATGGATTGACGTTTCCAGCAAAATATAAATAGATATGGGTTAGTGTAACAGTTTCTTCAGATGGCTAGAATACCTAATTCAGTCATGTCATCAAACCATTTTTTATTAGAAAATGGTCTTGGATTTACCATGTCTTCGTCTTCAGCACCCCTGAATTCTACTCTTTTTTTACGTTGTGTAGGAGGGGCGTAGATATTTTTTCTTTCTTCTTTTTTGGTAAAAAGGGCGTAGATTTTTTCAAAGATTTATACAAGTTCGAGTTTGAGAAAAAAAAATCCATTATATCTTGGAACTCATTGCAAGGTTCTGGCCCTGGGCTTTTCATAAGGAATTGTGAAAAGCTTGGTGTCCATTCGCGCACATTATGCATTTTTGGTAAAGGGTGCACATTACATGTCTAATAATGGATTTCTCCACCCAGAAACAAGCTTTGCTTCTGGGGTTTCCACAGAGAGAGGAAACAGTGGAATCTAATGGTCTAACAAATGGCCGGGAATTATTCCAAGCCACAAAGAAAATGAAGGATCAACAATGCGCGCCATAGAATAGAAGCATCAGGTTTCCAACCTTTTTCAAGCACGTGCAGTGACTTCTTTTTTTATGCATATAATAGAAGGAAGCTTTAACTAAACCAATTAAAAGAAAGAATCATTAGTGATTTTACACATAGAAGAAGCTTCCAAATTCTATGGAGAAATTAACATAAACAAACAAACAACTAGTTTAAGTCTTTGATTCTTGAAGGTGCAACACTCCGTCCTTCTGTCGACATCTTTCTGTGACATTCGTCTCTTCCATTGACACACACCTTAGTTTCTTGAAAAAGAGCCTTGGAGTTTGATTAGTCAGATGTAAAATCAGAGACGGCACAGTAAAACGGGTAAAAGCCAACCCACAAGACAGGTGAATCGTTTGGATAGAAATATATGCTCCCATTACACCCTGCAAATGACCAATTCATTGGATGTAGTAGACACAACATGGAAAGCACATTAATTGGGCACTTTTTCAATGATAAGTTGGAAGTATTTTAATAGAGAAGTGTCAAAAAAAAATATTGTAAATGCTCACTAATGTGCCTACCCCATCCGAATTCGTCATGAATCATTTCATTTGTCATCCTTATACAGGTGCTGATGAGTTGGAGTCGTCCAAGTATTCCAACTTCCGAGGTTAAAATAACACAACAAACCAACGGCGATCAGAATCTGGGAGCTTGACCAAAAATGGTTTCAATTGGCAAGCTAATGGTGGTCCTCTCCTCTCCACATCTTTATCCATTTTTCTTTGTTTTACCTTCATCACACATTCGTGACAGATTACGCTAAATTCTCCCCGAAAAATATTGTACATCAAAATTAAATGTAATACATTTAATTTAGACCAGGGGTGTTCATTATACGGTTCAAATCACAAAACCGAATCAAATCAAATCAAATTTGCGGTTTAATTTGGTTTATAACTATAAACAGTTTGATTCGGTTTGAAAATTTTCTGAATTACGATTTAGGGTGTCGATTTGGTTTATTGAATTTTATAAACCAAACTAAACCATAAGCCGTAAACCGAAAAAAAAAAAATATATATATATATATATATATAATATGAATATATGATATATAAATATTATATATAATATATCTAAGTGGAATTTGTAAAATTATAAATATATAATGAACTCTTTATTTTTTAATAAAATAATAAATAAAAGTTTTAAGTTTTAATTTTTAGGAGAGCTATTTGGACTTTCGAATTTGGTTAAACCCAAAAGAATTGTAGAATGATCTAAAGTCCTCAAACCATATTAAAAACCGCACCAAACCTTAATAAAACGGTTTGGTTTGGTTTGATTTCCATACCAAAATGGTTTAATTCAATTTAGAATTTTCTCAAACCGTAATTTACCAATTTGGTCAGAGATCTTCAAACCGCACCAAACCAGACCGTGAATACTCCTAATTTAGACTCGATGAGAAAAAAAGTAGATGTGGAGAGATGGCAGTGGTTCTGACTACAGAAGTAATTTTAAAGAATGGAGCAATAAAGAAAACCTGTTTTGACTGCCAATTTCTGGTTCCAGCAGTCACCATCCAGACCGGATCTCCAACGGGTGGTAACCCAACCCATCCCCCCATACCCATAACCCCCGAACCTTGGTGGCAGGATTTGATCCCAAGTCTCTGCCATAACTAGCCAGAGATAGAGTCATTTACAGACTATAAGATTCTTGTATTGGATACCATATACCAATGTCATAATGGATACGAGAAACATCGTGTTATGGCCCAACTTACCCCTGTACCTGATGTGTCTTGTGTGGGTGTTCCAAAGCATTGCTGCCATGAAGCTTTCTGCAACTAGCACTGTCCATATATACTAATGGAATTGTGCTCCACCTAGAACCAGCTTTTCGAAATTTACAAAGCATCTATGGATTAAAAAGCATTACCATCGAACACTTTGCTTATGCTTTGTTCTATACATGGATAATCTTCTTTGTAAAGGTAATTTCTCATCTTTCCTCCCCAATTTATCCAAATAGAAAACTACCTTCTTCAGTGTAATCATGGCATCTTCGCTCTCATATCCCAACTCTTTCTCTTGAATGCTCAATACCCTCTTCAGCAGCATCAATATCTTACTATCATCTGTCCCTATTCTGGTCTGAATAGATACTAAACAATCAAGGGCTTCCCCTGCCATGCAAATAGAGATAATATTATTGGAGATGAAGCACATTTACTTCTGTCAAGAAATTCAAATAAAGAGCTATAGCAACCACATTTAGGATAATCACATTATTAATATCAATTAGAATTAGCTCAGAGGGATAAAGTATGACCTTTGTTGAACTATTTTTGAGTCACCAACACAATCAAGAAGATTTTATTAATGATGCATGACTGAAAATGGGGCAAAAAAATTACAGTGAACATCTGATATATGTCATGTTACAATCTACTCTTGCATCTATTTTTGTCCTGGCCTATAGGTATCTGATACAATTAATGAGATATGTTAATTTATAACTAATTATTATAGAACAAATATTTATATCAGTATTTGTAGAACAAATACTTTACTATTTGCATATACTGCCAGAAGAAAAAAATATAGCTATATACAGTCTTGAGTTCTGTTTAAAGATTTGAGGTTTGACATCATATTCCCAATGGTGCTCGAGGTAGATGTAGAAACTTGAAACTCATATAATATTAGCTGTCAAAAGTTCAATTCTCCCTCTTCTTTTAATCTCTCATAGAAGTAAAAATGTCATTTCAGGAAAAATTATTATAACTTCCACTAATTAAAAGAGAAGTCAAATCAGCTGATTCTTCAAATAGAGGGTGCAATACTAGGCCAAGAAACCAAATTACTAACAAGGCAAAATGTAGAAAAAAAAAACACTCACCAACTGGAAGAGACTCTTTTCCAAATGCCTCCTCACGTATGTGCACAGCTTCCAGAGCCAGATATTCTGCCTCTTCAAACTGTTTCATATGATAGAGTGTAATAGCAAGATGTAACATTGGGATGGTAATTGATGGATCTTCAGGTCCCATGCTCTTTGTTATTATTCGCAGACTTGTCCTCAATAAGCGCTCAGCCTCCACAAAATTCTTCGAGCGTGAATAAGAGGTTGCAAGATTTAGAAGATGGGTCACTGTACTCGGATGCTCATTCCCTTCATACTTCTCACTCACCAGCAAACACTCCTCCAATAGCTCTCGGCCTTCATTTTCCCTAAGGAAAAAGATATATAGATGATGAGAACATAAGGAGTGCAAATTAAAAAAGAATGAAGATGAAAATTATGCTTATGATAACTAGAACATATGGCCCCTGAGCCCTGATCAAGTTGAACTTGAATGGAGAGCAGGAGTTATATAGTAAATCCAATGTAATTGGGATAAGTTTCTATTATGTTCAATTAAAATGATTTTTGGATAATCCATTTAGCCAATTTCTCATGGTTATACATACAACAAGTAATTTTTCCTTGTAATTGTACACAAGACATTACATTTTCCTTCAACTATAAAAAGTGAATATTGATAAAAAAAAAACTATAAAAAGTGAATACAATACAAACGAGTACAAGGTCTCTGCTTCCAAGGGTTCGTCTTGCACATCTTGCTTCTTAATCTCATTCATTTGGTGACCCTCCTTGTATATATATGCTTCTTGAAATGCTTCTAGAAAACTCTCCCTGAGAGGTTTTATCTCCTATGCCACCTCTAAACAAATGAAAGAACCAACAAAACATATATATAAAAAAAACAAAAACAAGAGAAAAACTCATTCTGAGAGGTTTTGTCCCAAATTTTTATTGCACCATGAAGTACCAAAAATGAGTGGGAGTGTCAGTTTCTAAACTTAAAATATTCAAAGTTTTGGACCACTGACATATGTGTGCATATGTCTATGCATACATGCATATAATGAGTTTTTTTTTTGATCAATAACAATGAAATTTTATTAATGATTGAGAGAATCAGAATTACAAGGGAAGGAGCTGAAGAATCTTAACTCCCAACTACCCAAGGAACATCCTGACCATGCGGCAATTACAAAACAGCCCAAAATATAGTGTTTCTGTTTACCCCTTGCCTAGCTAGACCATCTGCCAATGCATTTGAACTTCTCTTTATCCATGTACAATGAATATCCATGTATATAAAAAAATGAAAACAAAAGAAAACTCATTCTGAGAGGTTTTGTCCCAAGTTTTTATTGCACCATGAAGTACAAAAAATGAGTGGGAGTGTCAGTTTCTGAACTTAAATATTCAAAGCTTTGGACCACTGACATCTGTGTGCATATGTCTATGCATACATGCATATAATGAGTTTTTTTTTTTGATCAATAACAATGAAATTTTATTAATGATTGAGAGAATCAGAATTGCAAGGGAAGGAGCTAAAGAATCTTAATTCCCAACTACCCAAGGAACATCCTGACGATGCAGCAATTACAGCAATTACAAAACAGCCCAAAATATAGTGTTTCTGTTTACCCCTTGCCTAGCTAGACCATCTACCAATGCATTTTCACTTCTCTTTATCCATGTACAATGAATTTCCATGTCCTTGGTGAGCCACTTGAGCTTCCTCTTTTCATTGCTGTATTTCCAGAGCATAGAACTGTCCTCTTTTAGCCAATTCACCACAATTTCAGAATCACCTTCTATAATCAAGTTTTTAATATTCATTTCCTTGACCCTTTGTATCCCTTCAATAGCTCCTAGAATCTCAGCCCTCAAGGAATCTCCCACCCCAATCGGACCAGAGTACATAGCTAACAAATTCCCTATTTCATCCCTTATCACTCCCCCTACTCCGGAAGACCCCGGATTGCCTATGCTGCTACTATCGAAATTCAGTTTGGTAAACCCATGAGGTGGAGTCTAGCAAGAGTTTAAATTCATTCTACTTGAGCCTGAATCTGCAATCTCCTTCCAGCTCCTTGTCATCTCATCAACTGAGAATACTTTAAACAATTCCAATGTATCATCCTAATGTGGATAATCTCCATGATTTTTTCCAATCTTCTCTCCTTATTTAAGAATATCCTTGTGTTCCTCTCCTCCCAAACAGTCCAACATACCGCAGCCCTACCACATTTCCACATGATCTTGGCTCTTTTGGTTGGCCAGTTAGGCATAGAGGTAAATAAGCTTAGTACATGATTTTTAGCCAATTCACCACATCTCCACATCTACCAAACAGTCCAACATGCATATAATGAGTTTAATACATCCAGACATATAGAAGTAACACAAATTACCATATTAAGTCATTATATAGGAGAGGGGTAGAAATGAGGAGAGATACATGACCCTCTCTAAAGGTCTTAATGCACATTTAAAATTACATCATTCCACAGGGGGAGGAAACAAATTGATGTGCACCAAGCCTTCTAGTCTTTTACATGAGTACTTAAAAGCATAACGAAAAAAAGGAAGGCCATTATATCACAAGTAAAAGTTTGCTACAGGAACATATATTAAAAGGAACAAATGATATATTACATGATTTTTCGGATTGTGGGTCAAATACAATTCATAATTTGGAATGTTGAATTGCATTTGTACTTTACGTGGATGCCCTTATAAAAAAGTTCTCGGCAGTAAGATCCAAACAAGCAATCAACTCGTAATATTATATGATTTGATTTCAAGAAATGATCCTATACTGAAATAAGAAAAAATGGTGCTGTATGTCAATAAAAAAACACATGGAAAAAAGAAGAAATATGGCATTCATTAAAAGATGAAGAGCTTCTATTTTCTTACAGAACAATTTTCATGAGATATAACATGAAATCTTTACCTTCCTGCGACATGAAGTAATTCTGCCAAATCTATCCTCATCTTCTCCATAATGTCATCATCTAAAGCCATGTACTTTGAATCCTTAATAACCTTAAGACCATTTCTGTAAGAAGAGATGGCTTCATCCACATTTCCTGAATATGACATATAAAAGAAGATAGAACCATTTAGCATGTCGTGGAGGATCTTTTTCCTGTGAATGGTTATAGCATGGAAAATTTTTAGAAAGAAAAAAGAAAAAAACATTTGATGGCCCTGATATCTTTATAATGTAACAACTTTTTTTTTTGGTATACAAGTTGAAAAATATTCACTAAACAGTTGACTTTATACATCAGCAGAACCCTAAACAGCTAATGAGCATTCTTTCTATGGTTCACCTTTACCATGAAATAATTATAATTTGTTAGGTAGGCAGAGTGCCGGTAGTTAGTTGTTAGGCAGCCAAGACAGACTTGAATTTTATTGTCTTTCTTCAATTTTTTTAATGAATATGTTGATTTTATATTTTCAAGTGAAGCTTATTGGAAAGGTATTCTTCATTCATTTGCTTCCTTCTCTCCCTTTATTAGACTGAAAGTAGGAAAAGGGAACACTGTTAAATTCTGGACAGACCTTTGGTGGGGAAATAATCTCTTCTGTGAAGCCTTCCCCTCACTTTTTAGGCTAGTGTGTGATAAGCAAGTTCTCATTTCTGCAACCTTGATAAGAGGTTCAGAAGGCCTTTCCTTTAATCTCAATTTTCGTAGAGAACTAGAGACTCAGAATTATCTGAAATCACCTCTTTACTCTCTTTACTCTCAGAAGTGTTCATCTCTCACTCCTCTGAGGACAAGCTTATATGTCTTTAATCCCACATGGATCCTTCACTACCTCTTCCTTCTTTCAGCACCTAACTACCAACCCACCCCCCTCTCCTTTTCCGGGCAAAAAAGGTTTGGCTCCTATTGTAATGTGTATGTAGAGGCCTGCGGCCTACTAAGGTTTTTTTTTGTCTTTTCCTCAGTGTATTAGTTATGAGCTGTCGCCCTAAGTATAAATATTAACTTAAGCACCGCCAGCTATACTTCTTGGGAATAGATCTCTCTTTTCTCTCTTCTCTCCTCTCTTCTATCTTCTCTCTTCTCCCTCCTCTCTTCTAGATCTGCCGAACTACATGGTATCAGAGCTCTGATCTGGGTGCAACTTTTCTAGATCTGGTTCTCTTTCCTTTTCTGGAAAAGCTATTCTGATTGAAAGACTCCATCGTGTGCTTCTTCTGGGTGCAACTTTCAGACTATTTATTTTATTTTCTTCTTCTCTCTTGGTCGCTGTACCAAGAAGAAGGGTGTGGTGGCAGCCGAATGCATTAAAAAAATGATATCTGGATCTGTGGTGGCAACCGAATGCAGTATAAGGTTTTTTTGAGTTTGTGGTGGCAGCCGAATGCATTGAAACTTGTCCTTTCTGAGGTTTTTTTCTATGTGCTGTGGGTCGTGGAAGGTACGTACTGTTACACTCATAAGTAAATTTTGACCACTGTGAATGTCACAGTTCTGAAGTCATAGAGACTAGCTGTATCCCTTTTTTGCAAACTGAAGTGTTTCAGCTAAGAATCTTTGACCTACAGTACTGTCAAACCTGTGTTTTTGGAGCCTACTTATTGTTCAGGGAAAAAAAAAACCTTCTATATCAGATTGGTTTTTTAAAAAACAGCAGTAATATTTCTGTGGAAATGGCTACTGAGGATTCAACAACCTCTGGCATTACTTCACAGCAAGGAAACCTAATTGGGGGAATGGACAGCATGAATTTTTCTATGTCTATTACCCCATTTAATGGCCTGAACTATCTAGAATGGTCCAAAGGCATCAAACTTTATGTTACAGCTAGGAGGAAGGCCAGTTATATAAGTGGAAAAATAAAAGAACCAAAGTCTGGTACTGCTGAACATGATCGATGGGATCAAGAGAACAGCATGGTTATGTCATGGCTGTTAGGCTCCATGTTACCTCATGTACGGAAATATTTCATATGGGCTGACACAGCTTGTGAAATTTGGGAACAAGCCAAGGACACCTATTCTGAACAGAGGCATTTTGCCAAGATTTATCAACTTCAAGCAGAATCATCTATGTGTAGACAAGGTGACCGTAGCCTATCTATATACTACTCAGCCCTTACATCTGTCTGGAAGGAACTAGACTATTATCAGACCATTGACTGGAGGAATGATGAAGATGCCCAGGACTATAAAAWACTTGTCTCCCAACAGCGGGTTTTTGCTTTCTTACATGGGCTGAACCTGGCTTATGAGGCTCTCTGGGTGCAGATTTTGGGAAGTAAGGAACTTCCTTCAGTTCAGGAAATACATGCTCTAGTCCAATCTGAAGAGACCAGGAAAAATCTCATGAATGTTTCTGAGGGGGTAACACAGGAATGAAAAAGGGGGAACCAAGGAAAGGTGAAGATAAGGACAAACTGTGGTGTACTCAYTGCCAAAAGCCTAGACACACTCGAGAAACCTGTCGGGAATTAGTAGGTAAGCCCAAGTGGGCAACCAAAAATCAAGACACTTCAAAGAAGCCTCCTCARAAGAAATTTAGTTCTGCAAATCTGGCCACTCAAGACTATCAGCAAAGTAATCAAACTACTGTGTTTTCTCAAGAGCATCCTAGTGGTTTTGATCCCAAGGAAGACATCATCAACTCTTTCAGAGATCATTTGGAATTGTATGGTAGGACACTCGGGCAGTTGGACAGGTCGATTCCTACCCCTTCTACCTCATTTGCTTCTACATCAGTTAAAAGTGCTTCTGCATTTCATGTGTGTACCTTTGCTCCCGAGTCACCTTGGGTCATTGACTCAGCGGCATCAAACCATATGACCGGTAAGTCAAATCTCTTTCAGACCTACACTCTTCTTTCTAGAAGGGATAAAGTGAGATTGGCTGATGGGTCTCTATCCACCATTGTTGGTCAGGGATCTATATCTCTTCCTGATGGCCTTGTCTTATCCCATACCCTTTATGTTCCCAAACTTCCTATCAATTTGTTATCTATAAGTAGTATTACTCAGTCTTTAAACTGTTGTGTAACATTTTTTCCTCATTCTTGTGTTTTCCAGGATTTAACCTCAGGGAGGACGATTGGTAAAGGACATATGGTTGATGGTCTCTACATCTTGGAGAATAAAGTTGGCCCTATAGCATCAGCATCTATGAGTCTTATGAGTCAGCCTACAAACAGTCAACTGTGGTTATGGCATAATCACCTTGGGCATTTGTCCTTTGAGTCTTTGAAAGTTATGTTTCCTAAATTGTTCAAGTCAGTGTCTCTTACTAGTTTGCATTGTGAAACGTGCCAGTTGAGTAAGCATTGTAGAACAACTTTTCCATCAAATAATAAAAGATCTACTTTGCCTTTCCATATTGTCTTTTCTAATGTTTGGGGCCCTGTTAACATATCTACTAAGAGTGGGTACAAGTACTTTATCAACTTTATTGATGACTATTCAAGATACACGTGGCTATATCCTATGCACTCAAGAGAAGAGGTACCCAAGATTGTGCAAGATTTCTATCGCATGGTTTTCACTGAATTTAATGTTGAAGTCCAAATTTTCCAATTGGATAATGCAAAGGAGTATTTCCATCATGACTTAGCTGAGTTTTTCTCTTCACAAAAGCTCATGTGCCAAAACACCACAACAGAATGGAGTTGCTGAAAGGAAGAACCGCCATCTCCTCGAAATTGCCCAGGTTTGATGCTTCACATGCATGTTCCAAAACGGTTTTGGGTTGAGGCTGTGATGGCTACAGCTTATGTTAATAATCGTATGCCATCACGCCTCCTGCAATACAAGGCCCCACATCAACTTCTCTTCTCTCAATCCCCTTTATTTTCCATTCCTCTACGTGTGTTTGGGTGTAAATGCTTTATTCATGATCTATCTCCCAAACGGGGTAAATTGGACCCCAAATCTGTTCTGTGTGTTTTCTTGGGTTATCCCTCTTCCCAGAAGAGCTACAAATGCTTCAATCCAGTCACCTCTAAGTACTTTGTCTCTATGGATGTGTCCTTTTTTGAATCATAACCCTTCTTTCAAGCCTCTCCTCAGGGGGAGAATAATGTGAAGGAGGAGAGGCAAGCTCCGGCTCCTCAAATCCCTCTTCCCCCTATTCCTGACTCCTCTCCATTCCGTGTCTTCTTAAGACGCCATAAGGGATGCTGAATTCGAAGGCTATGGAGCAACTTGAGACTATACATTCAGCACCTTCTAACTCCTTGAAGGAAAATCCAGGTACCCTTGTTCCCTTTGATATGATTGAACCTAGTGCTATTGATGATCCTACTAATGATCTTGATGCCCCAATTGCTCATAGAAAAGGTGTTTGATCATTTACTACTAAGCATCCTATTGCTCATTTTTTATCCTATGAAAACATTGCTCCCGCATTTCATGCCTTTTTGACTGCCATTGATTCCGTCTCTGTTCACAAAAGTCTTGCAGAAGCCTTATCTATACCTGAATGGACAGAGGCAATGAAGGAAGAAATTAGTGCTCTTCACAAAAACAATACCTGGGAGTTGGTGAATCTTCCCAAAGGCAAGGAGCCAGTGGGATGCAAGTGGGTATTCACAGTAAAGCATAGAGCAAATGGGTTGGTTGAAAGGTATAAAGCCAAGCTAGTTGCAAAAGGGTACACTCAGGTGTATGGGGTTGACTATGCAGAGACTTTTTCCTCAGTTGCTAAAATGAACACTATCTGGATTATACTATCCTTGGCTGTTAACTTTGATTGGGAGCTCCACCAACAGGACATCAAAAATGCTTTCTTAAATGGGGATCTGGCAGAAGAAGTTTACATGATTCAGCCTCCTAGGTTTGTAGCACAAGGGTGTGAAGGGAAAGTTTGCAAACTAAAAAAATATTTATATGGTTTGAAACAATCCCCAAGGGCCTGGTTTAGTAGATTTCACTTGGCTTTACAGCAAATTGAGTTCAAGCAGTGCCAATCTGACCATACTCTATTTGTCAAGAGAAACCAGAAGAATGTTGTGGTATTAATTGTCTATGTTGATGACATTGTGATTACAAAGAATTGGGACTCTGAGGTTAAAAAGGTCAAAGAATCCCTTGCTATGCAGTTTGAGGTGAAAGATCTGGGACAGCTATGTTATTTCCTTGGTATTGAGGTTGCCCGCTCAAAAAGGGGCATCTTCATTTCCCAAAGGAAGTATGTCCTAGATCTTTTGCAGGACACAGGAAAGTTAGGAGCAAAACCTGTAGACTCTCCTATTGAAGAAAACCATCGGCTTGGTGATTGTACCGGAGAACCAGTGACAGATATTAGGAAATTTCAGAGGTTGGTAGAAAGACTCCTTTACCTATCAATGACTCGACCGAATATAGCTTATGTTGTTGGTGTCCTCAATCAATTTATGCATGCACCAACATCCTCCCATCTAGAGGCAGTTGAAAGGGTACTCAGGTATCTAAAGAAGTATCCAGGAACTGGGTTACTTTTCAAGAAACATGATCATATGAAAGTGGGAGTCTACACAAATGCAGATTAGGCTGGAGCAGTTGATGATAGGAAATCAACTAGTGGATATTGTACCTTTGTTGGTGGGAACTTGGTCACTTGGAGAAGCAAAAAGCAAAGTGTGGTGGTCAGATCTAGTGCTGAGGCCGAGTATAGGTCCATGGCACATGGAGTTGCTGAAGTACTATGGGTGAAGAATTTGATTGGAGAGTCAGGTCTCTCAGGTTATGGCACAATGTCTCTCTATTGTGACAACAAGGCAGCCATTAATATTGTAGCCAATCCAGTTCTTCATGACAGGACCAAGCACATTAAAGTCGACAAGCATTTCATAAGGGAGAAACTTGAAAAGGGGAAAGTTTGTACTCCTTACATTAGTTCCAAGGAACAACTAACTGATGTCCTTACGAAGGGTCTTCACTATTTGTGACATAATGAACTGTGTGACAAGTTAGGCATGATTGACATATATGCTCCAACTTGAGGGGGAGTGTTGTAATGTGTATGTAGAGGCCCGTGGCCTACTAAGGGCTTTTTTTGTCTTTTCCTCAGTGTATTAGTTATGAGTTGTCGCCCTAAGTATAAATATTAACTTAGGCACCGCCAGCTATACTTCTTGGGAGTAAATCTCTCTTTTCTCTCTTCTCTCCTCTCTTCTCTCTTCTCTCTTCTCTCTTCTCTCTTCTCTCTTCTCCCTCCTCTTCTAGATCTGCCGAACTACAGCTCCCCCAAAAGTCCCCTCTAGAGTTTCCTTCATGGTTTGGGAGGCATCTTGCTCAAAGCTGAATACTTGCGACAACCTCCAAAAGAAGCTTCAGGACATTGCTATATTTCTCCTTCTATTTGTCTGATGTGTTATAATGATAAGGAATCTATTGGGCACCTTCTTATTAACTGTACTGTGGCCAGAAGTCTTTGGCAGTTCTTTCTCGATTCCTTAGCTAGAGGCAAGCTCAGCTGGATTCCCCCTAATTCTGTTAAGGAGTTTATCAACTCTTAGCAAGGGCTAAAGACGATTCCGGGCAAGAGAGGAAGCTGCTTCTGGAAAGCAATTCTTCATGCCGTCATGTGGAATATCTGGGAGGAAAGAAATAAGAGATTATTTTAGGAGAGCTACTCCTCCTTGGAGACTCTTCGAGAACGTATCCTGACTAACATTAGCAGCTGGGTGGTGAATAGTAAAGTTTTTGAGGGTATCAACCAGAATGACATACAATGGAATTGGCCTGCCCTATTGTTAGTCTCTCCTTTTCACCCTCAGCCTTTCCTTAAAACCACCCCAAGACAAGATTATGAGCATACTCTGAACTTTGATAGCAGCTTTAGGAGATTTGCAGAGGACAGCTCAAATGCTGGAATAGGAGGTCTGATTCAAAGAGCAAATGGAGAATCAATTTGGGCCTATAGTGGCCCTTCCACGGCTGCTGATGCTTCTGAAGCAGAGGCTAGGGCCCTCCTGGAAGGCCTCAGAATCACCAAATCACATCAGCTCTGTTTCATTGCAGTGGAAGGAGATTCGAGGAATGTTATAAATTGGGCTTCAGGGCAGACTCTGGACCTGTGGAAGCTATCCCATCTGCTGTTAGAAATCAGGGAGGTTGCCTCTTGTTTATACTGCAGCTTTAGATGGATTCCTAGAGAATTAAATCAAGTGGCTGATAGTCTAGCTAAATCTGAGCTGGGAAGGGATTTTTTGTATAGTGCTCATACATTGCCAATTTAGTGGGCTTTGTCTTTTGTTTTTGTTTTGCCCCTTCCAGTTTTTGATATCAACGAAATCAGTTATCTTCTCTCAACTTGAGGGGGAGTGTAGAGAACACTGATGTGGACCCCACTGCTGTGGTCCCCACTGTGTTCGTATGGCAGCACAGCATATATTTTTTTTTTGTTAGTTATGTCAGTGTTAGTTGGTAGTTATTTCAGTTTGTTGTTACAGCTTGTTATTTCAGCTTTATTATTAGTTTATTTGCCATGTAAGCAATAAGGGCAATTCAGCCCTTTTACAATTAGTCAACATATAAATATTAAGAGTGGGTCAGCAGATCTGAATAATTCGACCCTCTCTCTCTTTTCTAAAAAAACCCTTCGTGTGTTTCTGCTTCTCCCTCTCTTCTTCTTCTTTTCTTCTTCTGGAATCCTTTTCTTTTACTTTCGAATTCAAGACTGATTGTAGTCTTGATCGACTACTCATCTATCCAGTTTGGTAGGGTCCAAGCAAACAGAGTCAAGAAGTTGCAAAAGCCCATTCAACTCTACCATTTCAGCATCCCTTAACTCTTCAGAAACCAAAATCCCAATTATGATTCAATAGAAGGGTTGGAGGAACAACAAAATCCGAGACACACTTGTTTTTGTACAAGGAAACTAAGTAAAGGGAAGGGAACAAATCCTTAAGAGTTGCAGAAACACATAAATAGCTTTCCACATGGTCATAATACTTTTGCAACGCTCTACTTAAAACACAAACATGCTATTAATAAAGTGAAAAGCCAAAGTATCCAATGAGTGCATCCTATTATTGTTACCCCAAATGACACTAACATATGAAAAAATAGAGATTGCCTCTAGGGTCTACTACCCTAATATGACAATTTAGAAATATTAGGGTAGCCTAACATGTGGAATGATGAACTAACACGACCACAACGCTTTCATGCAACCCTCCGATGAAACACAACCATGCTATTAATTCAATGAAAAACCAAATCACTAAATGAGTACATGCTTGGGTGATTTGGTTTCGATGAATTCACATGATCACAACACTTTTTTGCAACTCTATGAAAGAACACAAACATGCTAACAATCAAATGAAAAATCAAATCGCCTAATAAGTGCATGCCTTTTTCATACCCCAAATGATATAAAAATAACCCGTTAACGTATGAAAAAAATAAAAACTACCTCTAAGGTCTATTACCTTACTATAACGATCAAGAAATGCCAAGGCAGCCTAACATGTCTATCTTCCTGCCATTGTGCCTGAGTTTAGAGATCAGATTTGTTCTGGCTCTTGCATTTGCTAGTTTGTTCAATCAAGATGTAAACTGTCCTGAACCCTCAAAGACATACTAATTTTCTTCTTTTTGTCCAACCAACAGACTTGATATTTTGTCAATCAACACATATTGATTTTTATTTTTTATGAATTCAACACATATTAATTTTCTTCTTCATTTCTTTTTTTCTTCTTTTCCAAGGACAAAAACAGAGGCTCAACCCCTTTATTTTCTGAAATTTCTTTTCTTTCTTCCGTTTTCTTTCATGAATATTAAGATTTTCTATGTTTTAAATAAAGTTTATACATTTTTAAGAAGATTATAGATAATTAATAGTGAAAGATGGTTGCCGCTTGTTGGAACCTAGGGAATAACACTAGGATTCATGGTTTTTATTCAAAACATCCCATTGCCTAGGCAACTAGGTGACAAGGCACTTCCCTATCACCTAGCCTTGCCTCGGTGCCTTGAAAACTACGACACTAATATTTCTTTTAATTGGGACTTTCTTTTTGTAAGAAAATAGAAATTGAATGTATTTGGGCTTTCTAAAAAGGGTTATTTGGTTGTATCATCTCATTGTACAGGGTTTATCTTTTGTATTTTTTGGTATATGAATAAAATAGTTTACCTTCGAGTTTCAAAAATATCTACCTGCAAAAAATGTTCCTTTATAGTACAAAGTAATATTTGATATGAGAAATATCTTAAATAATCTATGATATACAAAGAAAATGCCACATAGAAACATCATCAGGAATCTGTGGAGCATCAGAATCCGATGCATGCCCAAAATGGAGAGGTCATCCATTTAGTAGAGTTCATGCAACAATGGTTAATAATAACATAATAACAGCAGAACAAACGCATCAACTTTCACATTACGAGAAAGTACCATTTATAGGAGAAACTACAAGCATGAAAAACAAGAACCTAAAAGAATTACCTTTTGCACACAGGGCATGGGCTAGGGAACACATAGCCATTCCTACTCTTCCATCATGTTCTCCATAAATCTTCATATATATGCTTGAAATTCTGAAAAGAGAAAAGGAAGATGAAGATACTAAATACCAGTAAAATTGTCAAGACAATATCAAGAATCATGTAGGACAAAATAACCTCTTAAAATAAATTTCAGCATCTGAAGCCCTTCCTTCCTTGATTAGGAGATTGCCGAGATTAAATAAAGGTAGCACAACATCTTCACTGTCAGCACCTCTGCTCGTTTCCAATATATTCAATGCCCGCTTATAGATCTCTACTGCTTTTGTAGCCCTCCCAATTGCACCAAACACTTTTCCTATCCCCAGAAGTGGTATAACAAGAAAAGGACTATCTTTTCCTGCAATAAAAGATAATTTTATCCTATCACACATTTTCCACTTTCAACAAACTCCTAAACATTACAAAGATGCACCGGCACAATAGGAGCTAAAGCAAAGGGGAACCATCTAAACTATTAAAAGAAAGAAAAACCTTTTGCCTAACATAGTCCTCTGAAGGACAAAAATGACCCTAATATAAGCATAGATATCTGAATAGAGCAAAGGGCAGTCCAGTGCACAAGGCTCAACTAATGCGGGGTCTGAGGAGGGGCAGATGTACGCAACCTTACCCCTGCACATACAAAGAGGCTGTTCCCAAGATTTGAACCCCGGTCACCCAGGTCACAATGGAGAAACCAACCATTGCGCCAAGGCCCACCCTCAGATATCTGAATAGAGCAGAAGAAATAATAAAGAAACACTCAGCCAACGAGGTTCTAAAAGGGAAAAAAGACAATGGTGAGATACTCATTATATGATCAATCTTTTTTATTGCTGTAGTAAATAAAACTAATTCTTGCCTAAGCATATAATTATTATATACGCAAAAGCAAGAAGAAGGTAATATCAAGTGAAGATACAACAGAAGAAAAGATTTGGAAGTTGAGCATAAGATTTTGCTTCAACACAAACGATGATCCTGACACAGTTTCACAAACTAATTATAAAAATGGAAAACATTTAAGCATTGCATTTGCCTTGCAAAACTTTGGGGAAAAAGCAGGTAATAAGTAATAACAATTAACAAAGGGAAACAAATGCTATTAAGACTTAAAGAGTATTTACAGAGGGAAAGGTAAAACATGTAAACTAGAAAATCTATAATGTACCTTGCCTAAATAGAAGGTATTCATGATATTTTCCTATCATATCATAACTGCACACATGCCTACATAGAAGGTAATGTGATAACCAATCTAGTAGATCAGAAAGGAAGGACCAATTGAATACCTTAATTAAGTCTCCATAAAGAAGATACAATCATGCAACTTGATAGGATAAATAAAAAAAGTAAAAGTAAACTTACCATATAAATTCTCTAGGATTTCTAGGCCCCTCCTATAGACAAGCATAGCATTATCAAACTTCCCCAAAGCTGTATACATAGATCCCATATGCATCAGCAGTGAATCTAGAAGTGGTTCACTATTCTTTACGCTGCAAACAATCTCATTCATCTGTTGTTCATAATAAAAAATTAAAATGGGCAATGAGAAAAGACAGACAGATTTTTATCACCACCACTGTATTATACTTGAAATCTTATTTTGATAAACATAATAATTCATTACATGATAAAGGTAATAATCTATTTTAAAGATAATACAGGAATACCCATAAAGCGAAGGAATGGTACATCATAGGAAAAAAAGAGAACTTAGAGTCTTCACACTTTTGGGAAGGCTAATAGGAAAATAAGATGGCCACAAGCAAGAGAACTTAGATGCAGGAACTTCCTGTTCAAAGCAAGGTTCTCAGTCTGAAACCTGTATCTTCTTTGGCTCTCTCATTGAGCCTTCTGAACTTCTCTTGCTTTGTCTACTAAGTTCAAATCTAATATCTTAACATTTACATCCTGCCAAACTCATTTTCTGGACATATTGTTTCTTGATTTCGCAACACACTGCTCCATACAACATTGCTGGCCTTCTAAATGTTTTTGTTAAAATATTCCTCTTAGCACAAGTAATATTCTCCTATAACTTAAGACTTCGGATGCACCCCTCCACTTTGCCAATCCTGCTCTAATTCTATAAGCAACATCCTCCTCAATCTCTCCTTTGTTATCAATTATCAAACCAAAGTAAGCAAATAGGTCACATTTAGATACCTCTTGGTCTCCAATCCTAAGTGTTCCCTGATTTCCACTCTTATTATTAAAAACACATATGATCTATAGATATATGTATGCATGAATATATGTATACTTATATGTGCATAAACGAGTTCCATCTTATTGCACATCACTAGAATTAAAAATTAGCAAAAGAAGTTACCATATCTAACAAGGATTCAACAAGTACAAAGTCCCCAAGACCCATGTATCCCAATGCAATGATGTCAAGTATAGCAGCTTGTTCCATGTCTTTCACTCCTGCATCTATCTGTTCTTTTACTGCTTCATAATTTGCTTGAAGCAGAGTAATAGCATCATCTTTGTTTCCCAACTTAAGCATGGATTTAACTTCAGCAAAGAATTCCTGCAACTGCCTCTCAAAATCATTCATACCATCCATGGGTTTACTTGACCTATCCAGCAATGTCTTAGACCTGCAAACATGAAACACATCAAGAATTACCATTACAAGATACAATTGCAAATCAAAGTGTTTTCCACTAAATCTATTAATAAAATGTCACAAATAATCCTTGAAAGATTCCAATGTCAAAAAATTTTAAATGGTTACAAGTAGGGATGGCATGCAGCAACAATATTGAGCGTACGTGTGTGAAAAATCCTAGTCATGTCAATTTTGAGTTCTTTTCTACACAACCTACCTTATCTATGCAATAGGAAATAAGTTTGCTAAAGGTGCGAGCAGGTTGACTACGACGCTGATTTTGACAGTGAGGGCAATTCTCTGCTCTTAATTGTATTGTACCATGTCAGGTAGGGTCTTAAATTTGACAATATTAGCAATTAAGCACAAATATAAGCTACGGAGTAGAACTCATAATCACAAATACTTAATTGTATAAAAAAGTGTTCCCCACCTTTGGGAGTGATTTGGGGCCATAGCGGTAGAAGAAGCATAATCTTCTCCGCGAGCTCTTTTAAATTCTGCTAAGCCATCTGTTTTGAAGCATCTTACGACACGAATATTGGAAATACTTCTACGAGGCACTGCATACAGATTGACATTCAAATTCTTATTTCGACGATGAACATAGAAATGCATCACACCCTTCTGTCTATCATGGTTAGAGTGCCACAAAAGGTCCTTTCTGAAACACATTAAAGAGAATATCAATGAGCATAATATGCATCAAACGAAAAAAAAAAATGAATTCATGTACCTACAAGTCCGAAAGTAAACCTCATTTCCATTTGGTAACATGTAGATAAACAACTCAATCGGAGATGATAAATTCATGCGCCCAAATTAAACGAATAAAGGAAGTAGTAAAAAAGAAAACAAAACGGAATCATTTCGAGGAGGCAAATCGGTTTCAGGAAAAAAAACAAAAAAGAAAAAGGAAAACCGAAAAGAATTTGAAATAATGATCACAGAGAAGTGAAACAAGGGAGAAAGAGATTACACTTCAAGAAGTAGAGGTTGCAAGGGAAAGGAGGGAGATGGGAATATGGGTAGTACCCGTTGACACAGGCAGGTGAAGGGAGACGCAGAGAAATTGCCATCGCAGCTGTGCAGTCCAACCAGTTTGAGGAGTTTGTGAGACGCGGTTAGATAAGAATACATGGTAAATTTCTTAAACTATCTTTATGGTTTAGTTAATTGATCAAGTCTATTCTTACTATTTGAAAATTGATTAAAACTCTTCTCTTACCATTAACGTCTGTTAACAAAAAATAAAAAGACTATTTTACCCTTTAGTTTTTTAAATTTTCAAAATAAAACAGAAAAAAAGGAAAAGAAACACTAAACTTGATGATTTCAGCAGTTGCACAATAAATCCAAAATGCAAAAATAAATGAGGGAAGGGGTGCGAACCAGCGGTACCCCTCTTCGACCAGTGTTCCGTAGATCAGTGCGGAGGTTCTCAAAGAGATTTTTCTAGTCAACAACAATTCTGACCTGTACTATACCTATACAACAATAATAACAACAATTTGTTCCTCATCGAAGGCTCATGCTGAATAACCCAACGACACCTACTTCTCCACCGATGGTGAATGTCAACGAAGACGAGCAGGCAGGTTCCAAGAGATAATATGGAAGCTTTCTGGGTTTTCTTGTGCTTCGGTCTTCAACTTTGTAGCAGTAGAWGAAGAAATTCATCCCCAAATCGTTCTTCAACTTATTCTATCTTGAATCGTTGAATCTCCGATGCTCATGTTTTCAGACAAGCTTCTATGTTGGGCCTGAGTTGAAGACAGAGGTTCGCTTCTCAGGTTTAGATCCTCCATTAACGATCCAAAGCAAAGTTTGGTGAGGTGGGTTGGGTTCAATGTAGCAACTGGACCGGAATCGCCTGCGAAAACCGAACTAGGAGAGTCGTTTCCATCGATCTAAGATCATTCAATCTCTCTAGATTGATTGATCCCAGTTTGTGCCAATTAGAGCTTTGTCCTCCAACATCCTCTCCTCTCCTCCTTGCTCTATGAAACCCACCGAGGGTTCCCGTTGTCTCAATCTTTTCTAAATGAAAGGAAAGCATAGGAAGAAATCAGAATTGAGATAGGCCTCTGTCTCTCTCCTTCACTGCCTTAAACGAAGAAAGGATATTAATGCTTTGTTGAAAACTTTGTTGCTGACACAAAACCTAACCTTTTGATCCTTTCTTTCCTGCCTCCCTTCCCAATATATCTAGAGACCAGTCAGAGGTTAACCAAGACGGTGTTCTCTCCGTTTGTGCTTGTTTTAATAGAAGTGGTTGTTGGCCTTTTGTATTTCTGTGGTGGTCGTCAAACTAGGGTGGTTTAGCTCTGTTTTTTTCGGGGTATTAGGCTAGATGTTATTACAAGGGAGTTCGGAGATGGAAAATGGGGAAGAGGAGAGAGAGATCGGGGAAGAGACCTGGCCGGAGGTGGAGAGGGTCGATGTTGGACCGCTGCCGCTGTGCATAGAGTTGAAAGMGACGATGAATAGTGTTTTTTCATTCTCTCGAAAATGAATTTGGGACAAGGTAAGGGTAATATTGGGTTTTAAAATAATTTTAAACAGGGTTTTGACAGAACAGTAACAGACCTTAACTGTAAGGGAAGTTAGTCAATTGTCAAAAACAGTAAGAACAATGTCGTTAGTCAATTTTCAAACAATAAGGGTACACTCAGCCAATTAGCTAAACTATAAGGGTAGTTTAAGAAATTTACCCTACTAATATTCACTTAAGAAATCAGAATTACGAAGTCCGAGCACGAGGGTAAATTGTTAAAYAGTTAAACTATCTCACCGTACTCATGGTGGTATTCCTTTTAGGGTTCAAAAGCCACCCAATTCATTAAGAAGAGAAATATGCTTGTTAAAAAATTAAGAATTTGGAACAAGGAAAATTTTGGTAATATTTTTCAATTAAAAGCTAAAATCATGAAACAATTAGGCTCAGTTTGGAAAGAGTACAAATGCAAATATGTACAACGTAAATACATGCAAAATAATACAAAATATAAGGTTTTGCACTCTATTTATTTGCATTTGTACTCCTTCCAAACTCAACCTTAAGCTGCATTTGGAAACGATGCAAATGCAGTGTAAATCTAGCTTTAGGGTAAATTTGCACTCTGGTTCACTTTTGACTGTTTGGCAACATTACATTTATGCATTGACAAATGACAGACCAATGCATATTTACATTGATAATAAGATGTAAAAGTACATCAATAAAAAAAGAAGTAAATTTGCATTCAAGTGGGCTTTTGATAAAAAAAAATTAAAAAAAAAAAGCATATGCTTTATTGGAATTCATGTTTTCATCCATTACAGCTAAAAGTCTATTTTGTAAGAAGGTAAATTTGTCGGTGCAAAACTAACCCAATTTTACAACTTATATAAACCGTTTTACACTCTACATATTTGCATTCACACTTATTTGCATTGTTTCCAAACGCAGCTTTAGGGGAAGTTCAGGCTAATCGTTTGAATGATAATCAAAATACCCACCCTTTTAAATTTAAAATCTGCGCTCCAAAAACACCCCAACTCTATCCTTATTAAAGAGGAAACATATTAGGCCCAAAAATCCAGAATTAATTGGATCAAACTTGGAAACAGAAATTACAGTTTCTTCCATACTACGACCACCATAAGGAAGAACAGGAATAGGATTTCAAGGACCAGAAATAATGAGAGAGATTGTATATGTGACCAAAATAACATTGTTGAATTTTTAAGCAAAAACTTTGAAAATAGATTAAGCCGAAGACCCAGTTGATGCTAAAGAGTTTATTGAGGTCATTAGTCCTTCCATATCCAGAGAACAAAATTTGTCCATTATTAGGAAAGTGACTGATGAAGAAATTAAAGACAATTTTTTTCAATGAAGGACCTCAAGGCTCCGAAAGCTGATGGACTTAATGCTCTATTCTTTAAAAAATATTGGAGTATAGTTGGTAATTCCATTTGTATTATGGTGAAAGCTCTTTTCCACTTAGGAAAGATGAATAAAATCATTAACAAAATCTTTATCACACTTATCCCTAAAATTCCCAATCCAGAAATAGCTAATAATTATAGGCCTATTAGCTTGTGCAATGTCATTTATAAAATTATCTAAAAAATCTTAGTCAATAGAATTAAGCCATTTCTCAATGATATTGTCTCCCCTTTTCAGAGTGCCTTAGTGCCGTCAAGACAAATAACAGATAATGTTCTTATTGCCCATGAAATCATAGAGAAAGCATATGATAGATTCGACTGAGACTTCATAGAAAAGGTTTTTAGAAGATTGGGTTTTTACAATACTTGGGTTAACTAGGTCATGGAGTGTATTAGGACGGTGACCTACAAAATTTGGATAAATGGTGTTCTCACTCGGGATATCATACCTTCTAGGAGGATCAGGTAGGGAGACCCTCTATCCCCATATGTCTTTGTTCTTTGTGGAGGCTCTCTCTCCTAACCTTGTGAGGGAAGCTTCTACCCCCAAGAGTCCCATTGGCTGTCAGGTGTCTAGACAAGGGACTTCCATTCCTATCTTACAATTTGCAGATGACTGCATTATATTTGCCAAAGCTGACATCCAAGCTTGTTGTACCATTAAAWACATTTTGGCCAAGTTTGCCAAAGCATTAGGCCAGGCCCCTAATTTTTCCAAGTCAACTTTACTCTTCTCAAAGAACATCAACCCAAAACTCAAGAAAATCATGCTAAAATCCTCAAGATTCCCTTACAGACAAAAAATGAAAAATATTTGGGTGCTTTGTTTTTAATAACAAATTTAATAAGGACACTTTCAAATTTCTAGGTGAGAAGATGGAGAATAAATTGGCAGGTTGGAAGAGGAGCTGTCTCTCCCTTGCTGGGGGAATTACTCTCATTAAGGCCTCTAGTAACATGATTCCTCAATATATTGTGAGGTCTTTTAAAGTTCCGAAAAATGTTATCAAGGATCTTGATAAAAAGCAAAGGGATTTCTTATGAACAAATAGCAAAGAGAGGAAACCCCTCCATCTCATCAATTGGAATCGGGTTTGCACTTCTAAGCAATGAGGTGGTCTTGGCCTGAAGAATCTAGGTTGGATTAATAAAGCTTGCTTTGCAAAAATAGGTTGGAAAGTGTTGAATGAAAAAGACAACTTATGGGTTCAAATTTTAAATAACAATACCTTCGAAGAGAAAATTTTTGGGAAACTAAACCAAAAAAGAATCATTCATGGGCTTGGAAAGGTATCCTTGACTCYCGTGATTTGATTAAGAGAGGTATAGGAATGATTATTGGCAAAGGCAACAAAAAAAAAATCTGGTTTGATAAGTGGTCAGATGAAACTCCCCTTATCAACTTGGTTATTAAAGCAAAAATTAACAATTTAGACATTCATGTTAGTGATGTCATCAATAACGAGACCAGAACTTGGAAGGAGGARTTGATTAAGAACCTAGTTCCTATAAGTGCATGGGAAAAAATTAAAACTATTTTCATACCTTCTGGTGATCATGATAGGCTAGTTTGGAGACCTAACCCAAATGGAAACTTCTCAATCAAATCAGCATACAATGAGGTTTGATGGATACATGGTAACCCTAATAGGGTGACAAAGGAAATCAATAAGGTGCGGAGTCTGAAAATTGCCCCTAAGATTAAAGTCTTTTTATACCTTTCGCTCAACAACAAACTTCCCTCCAGGGTAGTGCTTAGAAAAAGAGGATTTAATACTGATGGCTCATGTGGGTTATGCGGGGATGAAGAGGATTTTGTCCATATTTTCAATACATGCCATTTTACTAGACAAATATGGCTTATCATGAGATATACTATTCCAGATCCTTCAGAAAATAGCAATCGATGATTGATTGGTGGACTTCTTTGAATGCTAATGCTGATTGTCATAAGAGTCTATTTGTAAAAGAAAAAATTGTTGTTTTGCTATGGAATATTTAGAAAAACAGAAATAACAAGACTTTCAATAATAAAGCAATCCCCCCTCCAATAATCATTGAGAGAGCTAAAAACTCCTTGTGGAATCAATTTCAAGTTTTGAATGGGACTCAATGTTTGAACCTAGTAAACAAATCACCCTTGTCAAGTGGATAAATCCAAAAGAGGATGCTATCAAAATAAATTT